TAAAGAGTTTCTCAATTCTTACGAAAAATTGATATCCGTCGCGGTAAAAGTGTCAACCCGATGGATGGAATGAGTTTCTCAATTCTTATAAAAAATTGATCATCATTGTGCTACCAGTGTGTGACATAGTGATTGTGTAAGAGTTTCTCGATTCTCTTGAAAAAATTGAAAAATTCGCGAACGTGCGTAAGTGTCGTCGCGAAAATTCTAAAAAGTTCACGAAGTATCTTTTCAAAATCGTATTTCCGACGCGTGGAAGGAGTAAAATCCGCAAGTGCGAAAATTCTAAAAGTTCACGAAGTATCTTTTCAAAATCGTATTTCCGACGCGTGGAAGGAGTAAAATCCGCAAGTGCGAAAATTCTAAAAAGTTCACGAAGTGTCTTTTCAAAATCGTATTTCCGACGGGTGGAAGGAGTAAAATCCGCAAGTGCGAAAAGTCTAAAGTTCACGAACTATCTTTTAAAAAAAATCGTATTTCCGACGCGTGGAAGGAGTGAAATCCGCAAGTGCGAAAAATCCGAAAGTTATCGATCTTCGAATCAAAATCGTAAAGATACAGTCGCGCGAAAAATTTTGACGCGTGTGTAAAAATCAGTTATCGTGTCTGGAAAAACGAGTGCCGTCGGACAAGTGTTCGTCGAAAATTTAATATCTGGAATCGGTTTGACCGACAAGAATATCGAATAAAAATTCGATTTCACGCAAATTGTGCAACCTGATTGTGCAATAAAAAATTTTAAATTCTTCTCCGGAGGAATAATTACCTGTCGTAAGCTTGAAACGATAGATGCTCGCTTGTCGCCAACAAACAAGCGAAAGATCGTAATCTCACGCAGTAGAGATTGCCAACGACATACAACATGCCGTGCAAAAGATCACCGCCGAAGGGACCACTTACCAGATCCATGGACTCGATAAGTCGGGAACAGGGGGAGCCATCTCAGCAGATGACCATGACAGCTGGAGGTGCGAACGAGCGAGGCGCAAGTACATCCAACATCGACGAGAGCCGATCAACACAACTTCAACATTCGACAAGTAGCCTTACTGTTACCAATAATAGCGAAATGATATCAATATTGCGTGAATTAACCGCGAGCATGAACATAATTGGCAATAAGGTCACATGGCTTGAAAGTTCAGTAAACTCGATAGATGTAGAAGTTAACAACATTAGAACTCAAAGTAACAAAGAGTTGGATGAAATGACAGTAAAATCACAAAATCCTGAAAATAATGATGTGATTAGTTTACCTGAAACAGAAAAATCAAAGAGATCTAACAATGATATAATTTTAGATGAAAGAAAAGTTATTCGTAGATTAGTAACAGAAAAATCTAAATTAACTGACATTACTTTTGATGGAAAAATAAGCTCCATGAACCCAGTAAAATTCTTAAATAAATTCGAAGAATTAGCTACCAGGGAGGGTTATCGCAGAAATGAATTGTCTGAAAAAATAATTTCAAATCTAAAAGGAGATGCTCGTACCTGGGGGAACTTGATTGAATACCAAAATTTTGAGCAATTTAAGGAAATGTTTCTGGCTAGACATTGGAATGATAAAATTCAACAAGATGTAATGGCATATATAATGAACGGACGTTATGAGCCGAAATTCGGATCCATGGAGACATATTTTTTAACGTGGATGACGCATGCTAATTATGTTGATGCGCCGCTGACCGAGAAATGAAAAATTGAAAAATTGTTGCTACATTTTCCCGAGCGTGTATACGAGCGTTTACGATCAATGGCGGACCTGACAGTTCCACGCGTAATTTCACGATTGATCGAATATGACGGATCAAGTGTAGGATTGGCTATCGAGAGCCCTAGGGGAGTCGATAAAAACCAAATTAGAACTCAGAAATCTTCCGAGACCGATGACAGGGAATCTAGAAGGAATTTCTACGGTAGAAAGGAATACGGCAATAGATACGAAAATAAATCAGAAAAGCCAGCTAGGACCGTGGAAATTAAGAAAGAGTCAAATGTAGGAAACAAACCAAAGGATTCTGAGAAGAAGAAGGTTTGTAGGTTAGAGAGGATTACCGAGGCTACGAAGGATGACAACGACGGGCAAACAATAGAGCAAGCCAGCGATCCGGCTAAGAGTGATATGTCAACAGACGACGAGTCGGATTCCGAAGAGGCAAAACATTATTCTATGACTTTGATAGGTCCGGGCGAATACAACGCAGACTCAGAGTCCGAAATAGAAGATAATCCGAATATCCAACGAAAATATAAATTACCAAGCATAAAAATTAATTTAGGCGGTAAATTATTTAACGCGTTGATCGATACGGGAGCGGAGGTATCCGTAGTATCCGAAAGGGTAATGGACGCGCTAAAAACAAAAAATATAAGATTTCCTATTATTCCCGTAAAAGGAATTAAAATCATGTCAGCTGTCAAAGACAAAGGCACAGTAACCAAAAGAAAGGTATTACTGGATTTTGCGTGCGAGGATCAAGTTAGATCACACAAATGTTACGTGGTTAGCTCATTAGCGGAAGACGTGATTTTAGGACTTGATTTTATTATAGAAAATCGAATGGCATTAGTACCGTATCTGGGTAAAGCTATGTTTGACGTAGGAAAAGATAAGGTTGGATTATTAGACCCTACGAAAATTTTAACATACGATGAAAGCGAACGAGTGCTAGTTAACCAACTAACAACTGAGAAACAACAACTCGATACGGGAGCGGAAGTATCCGTAGTATCCGAAAGGGTAATAGACGCACTAAAATCAAGAAATATAAGATTTCCTATTATTCCCGTAAAAGGAATTAAAATCATGTCAGCTGTCAAAGACAAAGGCACAGTAACCAAAAGAAAGGTATTACTGGATTTTGCGTGCGAGGATCAAGTTAGATCACACAAATGTTACGTGGTTAGCTCATTAGCGGAAGACGTGATTTTAGGACTTGATTTTATTATAGAAAATCGAATGGCATTAGTACCGTACCTAGGTAAAGCTTTCTTTGACGTAGGAAAAGATAAAGTGGGATTATTAGACCCTACGAAAATTTTAGCATACGATGAAAGGGAACGAATGCTAGTTAACCAACTAACAACCGAGAAACAACAAATTGAGGTTTTAGATCGCGTTAACGAATTGCTAAATAATTATCCAGAAATATTTGAAGAAGGAATCGGAAGAATTCCAGGCTATAAGCATCAAATAATAGTCAAGGATGATAGGCCGTACCAAAAGCCTGTTTACCCTATACCACACAAATACCTCGAGGAGGTCACTAGCGAGGTAAACAAATGGGAAGAGCTCGGTATAATTAAGAGGGCGCCGACTGAATATATTAATCCATTGGTAGTAGTAGCGAAACCTAACGGGAAGTTACGAATATGCTTAGATGCCAGGGAAATAAATGATCGCATGGCGGCAGATCACGCCAGACCTCCAACAATAGAGCAGGTATTTAATAAAATCGAAAGGGCAAAATACTTTACCTCATTAGATTTATCAAATGCATTCTTACACGTGGACTTAGAGGAAGATAGTCAAAAATACACGGGCTTCTTATTCAAGTCGCAGACATATGTGTTCCTTAGACTTCCGTTTGGTCTAAAGACGTCAGGTGCGTCGTTCACTAGGGCGATGGGTCAAGTGCTAGGGCCAGAGCTGGAACAAAAAGTGATAGCATATTTAGATGACGTGTTGATTGCCACAAGAACATGGAAAGAGCACGAAGACATCTTAAGGAAGGTCTTGGACGCTTTTCGAAACAATGGAATTAAATTAAATCGGGATAAGTCACGATTTGCGCAACCGGAAATAAAATTCTTAGGGCATAATTTCCAAGAAATCAAAGCAGAAATTTTGCAGGATACTAAAAATAGTATAGAACGAGTTAAGAAACCGTCGAATATTAAGGAAGTGCAATTTTTCCTAGGTTTAGTAAATTGGGATCGAAGATTCATTCCGGGGTTATCCGAATTAATAAGACCAATTGAAAAATTGTTAGTTAAAGACAATAAATTCAAATGGGGACACGAACAGGAAATCGCGTTCGACAAAACCAAAGAAGCATTCCGAAACGCCAAAGAATTGTTTCATCTACAAGACGACTTAAATTTCGCGATAGACTCCGATGCATCGATGGTAGGAATTGGAGCAAGGCTATACCAATATGATGAAAATCAGGAGTATACGATAGCGTATATGAGCAAGAGCTTAAAAGATGCTCAAACACGTTATACTACTACAGAACAGGAATGTTTAGCGGTAGTAGAAGCGCTGAAAAAATGGCGTGTAATTTTGTGGGGACACCCAGTAAGAATTCGAACGGATCATAAGGCATTGACATTTATTAGCCAATGTTCGTTCACTAGCGACAGAATAGCTAGATGGATCAGAGTCCTACAAGATTTTGACATAACGTGGGTATACCGGAAAGGTTCGGAAAACACAATAGCGGATGCGTTATCGCGACATATATCCACTAAGGACAACTTGATAGAAATAGAATATCGGGTTCACCAAATCATTCACTACAATGATAATAAAAATGTATACACTCTGGAACAAGACGGAAACGTTTTAGGGAACTTCAACACTAGACAGCTTCGTCCATATAGGGAAAGAAAATCCTTCTTACTGGCCATGCTGGAATGTAGAGATGGCGAAATGGAAAGCAACGAAGTTGCAGAGAGTTCAGGCGTAACGCGAGCGATTTATCGAGACGTACCGCTAGTTAAAGGGCAGGTGTTCGGAAAGGACATACTAATATTAGTAGACACCGGGGCTCAAGTATCCGTCATCAGTAGTGGATTCTTGGAGGAAATAAAAAAGGAATTTCCCCATGCGCAAATCGAAAAGATGGAAAACATAGACATCTTTAGTGACATAGCGTCGAAAGTAATACCGCTCCGCGAGAAAATCACCATAGGCGTAAACCTCGAAAAGGTAATTCTAGAGGGGGTTTTTTACGTGCTAGAAGGATTAGCGGCACCCATGGTCATGGGTATGGACATGTTAAGAAAGTACGGAATAGACATAATGCTGTCAAATCAATTGCTAAAGATAACGTCGTTAGGAATAAACATTCCAATTTATGTATACAGTAAGCCACAAGATAGTAGCGATGAATACAACTGTCAAGTAGTTAGCTTGAACATGATGCGAACGGATAGCGTTGATTTACAGGAAGTCAAAGACGAGATGAACCTGAGCGCGGAAGATTTGATTCTGAGAAAGCAGAATGAATTATGTAACAAAATTTTGCGAAGCAGGGGTATCTTAGCAGACGAACGACCGGAGGAACTGACAGGTCCAAAGTTAAAAACGGTAGTACTGAATAAGACGCGTAAGATATGCGAAAACAACATGGTAATTTTACCCGGAAACATGCGAGCGAATATTGATAAAACCCGCGATAACGACTATTTATCATCTGATAAAGATGAAGAAATTATAACGGTGGATGACTGTAACAACAATGTAACAGAACTGAAGTCGGTAAAAACTGAATTGGTTAGTCGAGACACGGGATTCCAAATTTTAAGAGATATATCAATCGACGCGAGTGAAATGGAAAGGGTTAAATTAAATTCGCCATTATTCCTAAAACCATTGGAGGATGAACTAAGTGCGCGAACGTCCATTGAGAACCGCAAGAGGAAACGTGAAATGGAATCAACGATGCACCACTGGGAGTCCGAGAGTGGGGATGAGGCGGAGCCAGCGGAGCGACGCTGCGCAAAGCGCTGCGCAGTAGGCGACCGAGGAGACGAGCTGAAGCCAGCGAACGTGCTAGTCAGTCGACAGCGGTACACCGAAGTGACAACAAGCAAAGAAGCAGCAATCAATCCTGACATGGAGGATGAGCTTGAGAGGACTAGAGCCGAGCAGGCTGAACTTCAAGAAAAGCTATTGGAGGTTCAAACGGAGACCAACGAGCAAATTAAATTGCTGATAGCGGAGGCCACCAGAACTCTGGAGCGAGTGAAGGCTAGGAAGCTCATTCAGGAGAAGTACAACGCGGCATGCCTAAAGGATGTCCAGAAGGCATACCAAGCTGCCGTGAAGAGGAATATTGAGGGAATTTCCTTATCAAAAAAGGGAAAAAGAACAACGGCAACCAAACCAAAGGGGAAAGCCGAGTCAGAGAAGACAGCCGTCCAGGAAGGAGGCCAAGAAACTCAACTGACAGATGACATGTGCCCGATGGTAAAGCTGAATCGAATTCGGACCAGGAGCCAGGATTCTACCTTGGGAGATGAGATTCTACCAACAAAGGAGGAGAAGGAAGCCAGTCCGACCAAGGAACTCGAGCACATGCAAGCCAGTCCGACCAAGGAACTCGAGTACAAGGAAGCTAGTCCGACCAAGGAACTCGAGCACAAGGAAGCTAGTCCGACCAAGGAACTCGAACACGAGGAAGCCAGTCCGACCAAGGAACTCGAGCACGAGGAAGCCAGTCCGACCAAGAAATTCGAGCATGAGGAAGCCAGTTCGTCCGAGGAACTCGAGCACCAGGAACCAGAGCAGGAACCGGAATACATCCAGCGGGATAATCCACGGTACCAACTGAGGAGGATTCCAGTGAAGCCGAAGGTGCTGTCAATGGAAATTTTGGACAAGGCTGATCATGTAATTCTGCAAGAAAATAGGGTGACACCCTTAAAGATACGGGTCAAGGACCGCCCTCCGTGGGACAGCCGAATCTAGGAGGACCAGGAATTCTCTAAGGGCAGAGAGTTACCACTAGGCCTACCAATCCGGTCACAACCTAACCTAACCTGGCAACCGGTAGCGATGAATCCCAATTTCCAGATATTGCCATTTCCTGCACGGAATCATTGGTGCCTGATAGGACCAATCGTGTGCTTATCATTAGCATAAGATCCTATAGATTATAAGTTTATCTGGAAAGACCTACCTTTTGGAAGCCATGCCGAGCCAAATGACGAGAGGACGAAGTCTCAAAAGTCAATGGAACATGCGATGGTAGACTTCCAATGAAAGGGTATAACAAGTTATGTTAATTATATAAGTCAAAGTTTATTTAAATTGTTTGAATTAATTAATATAGCTTCACGTTTGTAAGAGACAGTATACAATACTTGGAAAAGACAGTAGTAAGGTTCTATTGTTGTTACATACTTACCTGAAATTAAAGCAGATCAGCTGTTCAAGGAAATAGCATAGACAGAGCTTAAAGAGTGATAGAGCATTCCTTGGACTTAAAGTATTTAAAAGGATCTGATTAAAGAGGATAGTTTCTGATAAAATAGATATTACATATATTTGTCAGGACATTGATCATACAGTTAAAGCATTATTAATATATAATACTGTTAAACATATGGTAAGTTGAATTATCAGTCACTTATGTTAAATCGTGATAAATTTAAAGTAGAATCAGTAGATGCTAACTTTCCAAGGTAATGATTGGATGCATGAGAAAACATTAAAAATTAAATTCTAGAGATAATTTAATCGTAGTTTGCAAATTAAAGATTTTTCTTATAAATAAAAATAACTATCATTAAAGAGATATATGTAAGTACGGTAGAATATTATTCCACGTTGATTGCAATATATAAATATTACAATTTGAAATGTTAAATAAGAATTCAATGGTAATTTAACAAAAAAGCATATTTCAGAATATTTAAAGACACTTACCATAATGACAGTATATGAAAGTAATGTACAGAGTCAGTTAGAAGACATACGGATAATTGAACGTAGTGATTTGTTGAGATAACCAATAGTTCAATGGTAAAAAATTCGTATTTTTAATAATAATTGAGAGAATCCCTTAAGGATAATGAAACTACGTTCTAGAGAGATGAAATAGTCATTCGTTTAAGGAAATATTGCATTTCGTCATATAATTTAGATATTTAGTATGATCAATGGTAATTATTAAATTCTTGTAGTTATTAACATTGGTATTTTCTACAAGTGACTAACGTATACGTCTCAAGCGTACTTTCATTTAATTAAAGAAAAATTTAATTATTGTTAGTAGTTTCGAAGATATAAAGATTGTCTTTGTCCCTATGCTTTACCATTGGGAAGTTTCCATAACCGTTGGCGAATTCTCGGAAGAGCCAGTTAATTCCTGGAAATAGTGGGGGAAGTTTTTGAATATCTACGAAACTATAATATTTACATGTTTTATTTGGTTATCAAATTATTACATAAATATAAAAAATAACTATTGCTTAGTTTGAGCTTATTGCGTTTGTTTATAACTGTCGTCAAATAGTTTATACGAATAATTTTAAATTATAGAGTAGTTATAAACATTTAAATATGTGTTTGATGTTATTAACTATTTTATAATACTGATATCTATGTTCATGCACAACTGTAACGCCGCTCGTTTAAGATAAACCGTAGTTGAATAGCAACAAATGAAAATTGTTGTAAAACGTCATATAATTTGATAGCAAAGGAATTTCGCGATGAAACTTGGTAGAAATAGAGTATTAACGATCCTATTTCGAAAAATTAACATTAGAAAGCTTAATTGTTAGTTTAAAAAACAAATTCCTTTGTTAGACAAAATTAAGCATTTTCATTCGCTGCCGGAGCCCTGGTAGGGATACGCAAACGCCCGAATCGCTGATTGGGTGCGGCGAAAGGACTCCCGAGGTCTATCAAAAAGGGGATGCGCCGAGCATCCAGGTTCCCACAATCATCTTATGTCTCGCGGTGTACACATCGAGGTCTCAGCGTACACAGAATACGGGCTTATAGCCCGTATTCAGAACTTGCTTTTAGTGCTAATAGCGCGCTTTTAAATTATTTGTTAGTGAGTTTAAAGGTGACCGTATTCAGAACCGCTTCTATGGTCACTCTTAAGATCACTAACAGCTAATAGCGCGCTATTAGCGAAAAAGCCTATTCAGAACCGCTTTTAAACATTTAACAGCGCGCTATTAGGCACCATCTTGGGACTAACAGCGAGCTATTCGAAGATGTGGGTAGGGGCATGTTTAAAGTGACAGGTCGCTGAAATATGGCGGACCCGATGGAGGCTATTGCCAAGATAGATGAAGTCCGCGAAGTTAATGAAATGAGAGTAAGAAATCCGCAAGTTTTTCGAGAGAGGCGTGATCCGTTTCGTACGTGACGTCATTCTTAGGCATTTCGGCCGTGTTCAATGCTCAGAGGGTATCAGATTTGTGGGGATCTTCATCCTCCACAAAATTTTTTAGGCAAATTTTATTGATTTTGAAATCGAGCCCAGAAGGTTTTGAGAGAGCAGAACCTCCACCTGTACCACTCGCACGCTTGCGATAGCAAGAAAAAGTCTTCTTTGCTGTGAGTTTCCACCGTTGCTATGCATCTCTTATATCTTTCCATTCCCTCTTAATTCCAGTCACTGCCATTTTCTCTGTTAGTTTCGTTCATTTGTCTCTTCTAGTCTTTTGCAATCAAGCATTATTTGCTTTATTCTCTAGTATATGACGATTGTTGCTTACAAATTGTATGACTAATGCTTCTTCTTCGAGGGTGAAATTCTCCTTTCGTTCCATAATGATCTGCAACCATTTATTTATTTTTTTTCATTTTCATGTCATGCCTGTCTTATAATAGTTTTAACGTATTAATTGAATATTAATAGCTTGGCTTCAAGAAAGGGAATTCTTGAATTTTGAATTTCAAATATGGCTGCAGTTTTCACCAAATATCAAGTTCGCGCTTTCCGAATGCCACCGAATACTCCCGGACATAATCGAATATACCCGAGTCTTCCCGAATGATTCCGAACGCGGTTGAAAGTACATGTTACAATGCGACCGGATTGGAACTGCAAGGATTTATGCTTTTCCCTTAGGCTGGCACCTCTATTCCTAAAAATCCAGCTTCTCCACGGAGGGCGGTCCTTGATTCGTGCTCGGACTGTAGATTTATCTCGAACCGAAGAGTAACGCACCGTTTCCACGGTCGCCACCTGTTTTTACCATAAACAGGAAGGGGATCCCCGAATCCAGACTGCAACTATCTCCTTATTCTTCGCTGACGTATGGTGTGCTGCGTCCGACAACTAGTGGAACCCTATCACTTTTCGATCCTCCAGGCTTCAGCAGAAGGTACTTCCCCACCACAATTGAATAAAATTCTAATTTGGATTTAAAGGAACTTTAATTTCAACCCGCACATTCTTATAACATTACCCTGAGTGCTCAACGCAAGGTAAGTGGTGTTACGATACAATAGCTAAATTCGCGAGCGATGTTTACGCCACGATCGCTTGTCAGAAACCAGGAACCACGACGCAAGATGCGTCCGCTTTATATAGGCTTGGCGAGTCGCTCGGCCGCAGCCAATCAGCGCTAAGCGCGTTCCCGTCTCCCTTCCAGGGTCACGACATCCAATCAGAATGCTTAAATTTGTTAAACAAAGGAATTTGTTAGTTAGAATAAATATTATGGATTCTAATGTTAACCAATCGAAAGAGCATGGTAAATTATGTAATTTCACCAAGTTTCGTTAAAAAATTCCTTTGTTAACACATTCTAGGGTGTTTAACAACAATTCCGATGTTTTGCTATTCAACTATTGTTTAACTATGCCGAGCGAGGTTGCGGTTGTATATGAACTTAGTTAATAGTATTACAGAATACTTAATTATAAAAAACGCAAAATTACATGTTTATAACTACCTAATAACTTAACATTTAAACTGCCAACGGTTCAACAATAGTTATAAACAAACATATGTAACTCGAACTAAATAATAGTTATCCTTTAATTATTTGTAATCATTTGTGTTACGTATATCGACCTTCATTCCGAAACAGAAGAATAACGTAGCCGACAGGAAGCATAATTGCAGACTCAGCACGTTACCCAGTGCATTGCCCGTGCCACCTACCCAGCTGGTTAGCGGAATGCATTCTTAACGTCCTAACCGTACCTAGAGCATCAGCAAAAATCGACTATATAAGCAGCCAAAATCATGGCACTGGCGCTCAGAAAATCATTCAGTTTCACGCGTAAAAGATCGGACTGCACGTTGTCACTCGTGGCTCTAACCGTTAGAGTATTAGATTCAATGTAGTATTCGCAATCTGGCCTAGGTACGGATTCGTTATTACATACCCTAGGGCACAAGCTGGATCGGTTACCGGGCAAAATTGAGCTGCATAGACTAGTCTTTCCAAATATCGCATAGATTTGATAAATTTCTGTTCCACCAAATTTCTTTTGCCTTAACCTCACACACACAGTCAGGTTTTGTAATCCGATTTTCACAATATTTTTTATCCCAGTATTTCTCATAATCGAAACACTGTACACGACAATTAATTGAAAACTTCTAAATTGTTTGTAACAATATATCGCAAATTCACATTTTACTCGCGTTTTAAATATCTATTACCCATCCTCAAACATTTCAGAGAATATCTATCCACGTTGGAATAGCAAGGCGTGTTTCAACACCTTAAACGAGCAGTGAACCCACCATTGAGTGCATTCTTACCGCTCGGAATTCACTCAAATATTATTCACGTTACCTCCGGTCGTTTCTTTTCTTTTGGTTACTTCTAAATTTTTGTTATCAAATTTAAAGGCCTCGCTAGCCACAACGGCCTACGTAATAGAATTGGTGACAGCAGTGGGATACCCTCCAAACTAGTATTAACTCAACCTGTAATACCAACACCCATCTTATCCAACTTCGAAAACCGACTAAGGAAGTTGGACTTCAGGTCAACTTCCCCATTGTTATTTTTTTTTGGTTACTTCTAAATTTTTGTTATCAAATTTAAAGGCCTCGCTAGCCACAACGGCCTACGTAATAGAATTGGTGACAGCAGTGGGATACCCTCCAAACTAGTATTAACTCAACCTGTAATACCAACACCCATCTTATCCAACTTCGAAAACCGACTAAGGAAGTTGGACTTCAGGTCAACTTCCCCATTGTTATTTTTGAAGTAACCCATCCTTTCTAAGCGTAACTAAGGGAGTTGGACGTCGCGTCAACTTCCCCATTGTTATTTTTGAAGTAACCCATCCTTTCTAAGCGTAACTAAGGGAGTTGGACGTCGCGTCAACTTCCCCATTGTTATTTTTGAAGTAACCCATCCTTTCTAAGCGTAACTAAGGGAGTTGGACGTCGCGTCAACTTCCCCATTGTCATCTTGGAAATCCTATCAATTCAAACCACCCTAATCAATTAGGTATCACGAACGAGTTCAGTCACATACATACATTAGACGTTTGTT